GATTCTTCTCTTCACACTTCATCCAAGTCTAAATCTACACAATCTGACCTACTACTTCTGTATTCTAAGATCTTAGAATGTTTGGAACACTACCCAGTCCTGTTCACTACTTAGTAGTTTGTCTGTAGTATCAAGTAGGAATAGCTTTAGCTGAGTTTACAGCTGAGGACATGAGTCTGTTCTTGTTGAAAGAGAGAGGTTAATAAGGAAATGTTAGTGTATATACTTACCCTCTCAGACAATAAGGCTGTACAAACTATACATTCCCTTTAGAACAAGTAGTAGTTTATTCAAGAATGTTCTAGATACTAGCTCTAAGTCCCTGTCTGTCAGCAACAGTGTAGAGGGGACCTGAAGGCTCAGCAAGGGGACCCAGGCTACAACTATCCTACACAACAGAAATACAGGATGCAAGCACTAGAACATAGTTGGAACTTGCAGAACAGGCAGAGAGAGAGAGTGAGACAAGAGTAGAGTATATAGAGTGAGCCTAAGAGTACAGGACTATCTAGAGTAGACAAGATCAAGACTACAGGACCAGTCTGATCTTGTACACCTATATATACTAAACTACACAAGAGCACTCAGGGAGCATGAGCCACTAAGAATGATGAGCCACAAAGAATGAAAGAAAGGAATGTCAAAGATAAAGGTACAAAGAATGAAGGGATGGATAAAGGGTAAGAGACCATAGAATGATACAAAGAATGAAGGGGTGGTCAAAGGAATGGAATGATGAAGTAAGGAAGGGTAGTGGCAAGAGTCAGCATGCATATAGTTCATAGACAGTACCCCTGAGGGACAGAAGTCCTGAGTTCCGGTACGGAAGGGTGCGGAACCCTCGGAACTGAAGGTACAAGAGCAGAGAACCATAACAGATAATATCTGCTTATAATGCTTATAAGTCATTACAAGTGTTCAAATAGCTTGCTTTTGCTTGGTATACAATTTTGTATCAAATAATTAAACAAATATAATTATATTTAAATTACAGAATACAAAAATAGTAAATAATATATTATTTCTACAGTCCCAACCCCTGCACCACTAGCTGCCTCTGCCTGGTTCTTCTGCGAGCGGGATTCGTGTCGGAAAATGATGAACGCATCCTCAGGCTGTTCAACGTAGTCTTCGTCACCACGTTTTGATCGTCGCTCAGACTCTGTGAGTCGAATTGCGTGTGCATGTGGGTTGGGGTCGAGCAGGTTGTGGAGGTTGAGGCTGCGCCTGTTAGACAGGTTAAGATATTGACTACTACAAAGAGTGATTAGCGAGTGACAATAGGAGAGAAAAGATGGATGCACTACGACAGCGTACAGCGAGTGTGAGTGGTTCACCTGGGTTGAAATCCGGAGCGTTGAACGAGCTAATTTGGGCTGTAGGGGAAAACATGTCTGAGCAAGCGCATTGCATGTTCTGGCTTCGACATGCAATCGGAGGTGCAGTGAACACAGCAGTAGCTGTGGATGATTTCAAAGGTGTATCTCTGGGACGTTCTGGCTTGAAGGGAGAGGGTGAAGTGGATAGTGTGGACAGACCGGGCTGAGAGAGGAGTGGAGGGTCACTGCTTCCGTTCGAAATGGTGTCATGCACGGCACTGAGGAAAGTAAACGCACGCAGTGTGGACCCATCAAAGGTGATGCTGAGCATGGAACGGGTGGGGAAGAACGTGCGCATCGTGTTGGAGAGAGGATTGCACCTTGGGAGTAGTCGTACATGGACATTATCGCGAGCGCGTGATTGTCAATTGTTGCTTGCACTGCAGAGTGGGAAGGTTCGGTATTGGTCAGCAATGCGGATGCGTGGATGCAAATGCAAAAAAGAATGCGAGCATAAGAAGAAGAAGGACAACGAAGGAGAGGCAACGCAAGAGGCAGAGCGAGGAGTGGGAGGGATGAAAGGGAGACAGGAAGTTGGGAGGAGAGGGATGAGCAACTATTGTGTGAGTTATTATGAAGTGGAATGGCTGCTTACACTTTACACTGAAGGACAGAGTAGCCAGCTGGGTTGTGTTGTCACAGGATCTGAGGCTCAGTGCAGGCATTGTAGTGGCAGATTAGAGAGACAAATGCAGTAATGTTTATTGTCTAGGCAGTTGCAGGCAGTGTGCCTGCTGGAGGTTACTTGTGGGGGTCTGCTTTTCGGTTGTGAGACGCGGTCGAGCGGACTTTGAAAATTTGCCATTTTAAGCCGAAATGTGGTGATCAAAGTGTCCGCCTTGCTTATACTTAACTTGAAAAATCAGTAGTCATAAAAAAATCAATATTAAAAGAGTATATTGATACATGTTATACTTATTAATACAATTCATGTGTTATACTTGAGAGAAATGTTATACAGAAATTTATTTGGCTAAAGTAAAGTGTAAGCTACAAGTGAATCAGTAGTGATCAGCAGTCTATTGCAAAGGAACGACGCGAGTGTGACAAAATATCAGCCAAATTCTCTGTGACAATGTGTGACTACAGCCATTCTGGCCTCATTCTTTATTTCATTCCTCATGCAGAGGTCAGTTAATTCACACGAAAACATTACTATAAATCAAAATAAATCATTATTAAAAGATTTACAGAAGGATTTTGTCAGAAGAAAATTATTGCTCAAGATATAGTTGATTTGGAGTGTAAAACAGTTATATTTTAGCTAGTTTCTAATAAAATCAAAATTCCTTCTGTAAAAGTTTCTTTATCATCTTTTTAATGCTATCATATTTTTTT